CCTTTCAACGTTCCCTCGCTCTTTCCTTTCTGTTTCAAATTCCCTTTCTCCTACTTGGACTTTCATACTTGCACTGTGTTTTTGGTGAAGATCTCTCAATTTTACCTATTTGTGGGATAAAACACCAGAAGTAAATACAGTAGAATTTGGGTGGTGGGTCTCTGGGGGCACGTAGGGTACATTTTTCATATTAACACCTTTTGCTGTAGTTGTAAAGATGTCTAATAAGAAGTTTCCTTTCTTCCTATTGCGATCTCCTTGGCCCTCTTCCTTTGGTGGTGACCCTGAGCAGGGGGTGGAAGAGAAGCTCCCAGAGTTGCAAATTAGACATGAATGCTGGGAGGAAACACAGGCACTGATGAGAAAAGCAGACAGGCACAGGTGGTGCAAGTTAGTGGACCCAGGGCTGTTTGCTCCATGCGGCGCATACGATTGTCAGTGGGGGGCCCCCAGAGGGATGCTTCAAGCATTTCTTCTAACTCTCCTTCCTCAGCCTCACAGCACACAGCCCACTAGAGAGTGCCAACCCAGCCACCCAGGGTGAAATGGTTGGAGAAATCGGAGCGAGCAAGAAATCCGCGCTTTTGCGAGAGGAGCGCATGTGCAGTGCCCTGGAGTGGGTCTCCACACACATCACCCTTTCTCCCCTTCCGTGTGTCTCAGTTGCTCCCCCTTTGCGTTTGTATATGCTTTTCCTTGGTTAGTTAAAAAAGTCACCACTACCCACCAAGCACCCTGCTAGAACACTCCCGGACAGTTGTTTTTTTGCTAAAGAGAAGCTTTGGACAGATATATGGTGTGAGGATGAAATGCCATCATCCATGTGACTCGTGGGTTTGAAGGCTGGTCCTCCCTCCCTCCACCCCACTGCCCGCTAACCTGGGCTCCCTCCCAGGTCTGGCCCTCTGAGGCTGGTCATTGGTGACTTGCTTGCTGATACCCGGCAATCTCAGAGCTTCAGGGGCCAGTGGCTCCTCCACAGCCTCATATATGTCCTCACTCCTCCTAGGACACCAGAGCCCACTCCACAAGCACTGCATCTTCAACCCATCTGCCTAGACCTGCCATTTTGTCTGCTGGGTTCCACTAGGAAAACTGATTGCACACCACCTAACAAAAGCTCCTCGACAATTAAACTGATTTGGAATGCTCCAGCTAGCTTACTGAATTGATCTTCTCTTAAGTACCCACTGTTTTCTCTGTGATTTTTTTCTTTGAGCAGCAATTCTTGCCTCTACTTCCTTCCCTAAATGGAAATTTCATTTGCATTTTTTTCACTTCTGCTAATTTATTTAAGATATTTAGTTTATTCTTCATACGGCTGTAAAGAACTAGTTAAGATCTTACAGTCATATTATGCAAATTTCTATACTGTATTTGTCCCCCCCCACCCGTTTTTCTTTGCTGACACTTAGCGTCTCTGATTCTCAGTTAAAATACCCTTGCTGGCTACTGTTGAAAGGATATTTTTGTAGTATTTTTGGTGTATTAAAGAAGTTAAGTTTCAGTTTCTGGCTTAAGAAATAATAATAATAATCTCTCTACCTGTATAATAATAATATAATAATATATAATAAGTCTCTATGCCTGACCACGTCTACCATATTTATTTACCAATAAAAAGGGGAAATCTGTGAGATTACAGAATAGTATATGCTCATCAAGGTAAGATCTTTTTTTTTTCTTAAAGATTTTATTTATTTGACAGAGAGAGACACAGCGAGAGAGGGAACACAAGCAGGGGGAGTGGGAGAGGGAGAAGCAGGCTCCCTGCTAAGCAGGGAGCCCGATGTGGGGCTTGATCCCAGGACCCTGGGATCATGACCCGAGCCAAAGGCAGACGCTTAATGACTGAGCCACCCAGGTGCCCCATCAAGGTAAGATCTTAAAGATATTATTTCAAAACGTCATTTAGAAAAAGGGCAATCTACTGACACGCACTGCATTCTTAGGCATTCTCCCCTTTTTGAGTAGAACAAAAATGAGTCAAGGTAAGAACAATGTGATAGTGAGATGTGGCTATAAACAAGCGAGAATGATTTGTCTTGCATACTTCTGTCTTTTCTCAGCCATTTGGCTGTCTTCCTCAGTAAGCAGTAGTTGTGTAGTGCTGGTGGTGGTAGGGGGGAGAGGCAGCATTATACCCAACCCCTCCTAGAGCCCAAGCCGGACCTCCTGAGACAGCTACAGGGCTCTCTCTTCCCCAGGGACCAGGGGGATGACAGTGCCCGCCGAGTTCCCCCCTGATGTCCCACCATCTCAAAGAATGTGCTGACATATGAGGGACTCTGGAGACTGTCATTTTACCTTAAAAACTGTAAAATGAATATGGGAAAAGCTTTCTCCTGGCTTCTCCACTTTCTACTTGCACGAGAAATGTCAAAGGCAATTGCCCAGCCAATCATGGGACTCCTGGGAAGGACCCTTTTGTTGTGCTATTTCTCAGCTTGCCAGACACCTTCCACATGTTCCCGTTGGGCAATTTCATTTTAAGGAGGATTGGTGGTAGAGGAGCAAACAGGAAGGCCATTGTCGTAAATAGTTATTTCAGCTTAATAACCCTACGGGGAGGCTACTCATTCATTACCTAGCAAAGCATCACAATAAACCCTGTATTTACATTAACACCTACTATTTATTAAGTGCTATATCCATCTTTTATTCAGACTGATAACTGAGCCAAGTCCACACTTCAAAAATAATTCATAGTTTACATCTTGTTTCTCGGTACTGAAAAAGGCTTTCCGTTTAACATCTCAGTTGTTGCCACAGTAGCTTCTTGCAGGGAACAGGGCCAGATCAGATGGCGGTGTGCCTCCCTTCCCCCGCAGCATGCAAAAATCTGGAAAAGGATTTCCCCAGAGAATCAAGAAGCCAGCCACAGAGCCTAGGTCTCGCTGCTGCTTTGAGGCATTTACCACTGAATCTGTCCATCCCATGGTGGGAAGGAAGCCTCACAGTGAGGACACACGAGCAGATGACAAGACTGACACGTTTTAATGGGCAACACCGTGCAGCCCAGGAGGCCTTCTGCTCTGACCGAAACGGCAGGCCCTGTGCCAGCCTTTTACAGCTCTAGGAGGTAACAGAAGGAGACGAGGACCGGCCGTGCTGGGGGTCTGGGAAGAGGGTGGGAGACCCGGTATTCAGGATCCACTTTATCACTTGATCAAACTTTAACATTTTTGGATTTCCTAACACCCTAGCCCAAAATACACGAAAATAAGCAAGTCCTCCCAAATTAAGACGTCTTCTCCAGCCACGCCTCTGCCCCCGCTCACCCTCCCATTATTATTTCTCAGGCAATTAAAAGATTAAACCTAAGCCCCCCGCAATGCCGTTGGGCGCGCGCGCTGCGAGTCCAGACGGTTTCAGCACCAGCCTCGGGGACAGACGCCATAAGGCCGGGGAAAACGGAACCCTCGCCTTGGCGGCTCCTGTCACCATCAGAACTGCTCCGAGGCAGGTGTCCCGGGGTATTGCGAAATCCTAAGGGCTTCTTGAGGTACAGGCCGAAAACATTTTCACAAATAAAACGACCAACTAGCCACTCCAGCCCTTCCAGTGCCGTCCTCTTCAACGGGGGACGTTTCTGCCCGGAGCATGACAAGCGTTCGTGACCTACATATGGAAAAGGGGCCCCCGGGAGCCTCCCCCCCCTCAAGCCCCAGAGATCGGGAGACGCCGGCCACCCGGAGACCCCCTAAGCGTTCGGAGCGGTCTGTCCAAACCTGCGCTCGGGTTTGCCAAGGGCTCAGCCGAGGGTCGTGGGTTCGAGGGGCGCGCTCACCTGCCAGCGCCCCGCCGCCGACGCCCACCTGTGCGGCAGCGCGAAGGCCGGCTCGCAGCGGGCGGCCCGAGAACCCCAGGAATTTGTTTCGCGTGCTTCCACTGACGGCGGCAGGACGACACACGCACCAAACCGCGTTTACAGTTGCAGAGACTTTCCCGCCCGAGTTGCCCTTTGGCTTCTGGCTCGCCCCGGGCTCGCGAGCCAGGGCCGTGCCACCCGTTCCCCCACAGCCACAGCGGGCCCGGCCCGCCGGCGGGGCGCCCACTTACCCGGAGCGGGGTGCGCGGGCCGAAGGCGCCGCTCACGCGTGGGCTTTGTCTCCGGCGCGGTGCTCG